GTTTTTTTATTTTTATCAATAGCAGCCAATATTATCTTTTCTAATGTATCATAGTCATTATCTTCACATGACTTAATAGTATCTTCAACTGTTTTATAGAAATTAGAGTAGTTTATTTTTTCATATTGTATTCTTTTTAAAGGTTCTTGTTTTTGTCTATGTATTTCTAAATAAATTTGCTTGTGATCTGATAGTGAAGACTCGATTACAGCCATGTGATATGAGTTATCTTTAAGGTTTGTAACAACGTGATCTATTATTGTCTGAGAAGTCGTTGTTACACGTGTACAGTGTTCTAAACTAATCTTGTTTAAAAAAATTAAATTATTTTCCGTAAGTATTTCCTTGTAATCTTTAACACTGTTTTCATTGCTAAGTAAGTTCAGGTTAATATCTCCGAAAGCAACTACTCGTTTTCTATTTTGAATTTGTAAATTATATATTTCAAGAAACTTATTGGTGTTTGCAGCTGGTTGTCGATAGATAGCTCCGATATTTAGTGACAGCGTCTTCACATGTACCCATAAAAAATGATTACCATCTTCTAAGTGTTCTTCTAGAAGTTCATGATTCAAATTGTTATGGACGTAAATGGACACACCGCCACCTCTAGAATTAGTTCTATAATTGTAGTAATGGGTATAATTGGGCAAATTTAATCTATTTGCTTCGTATTCATTTTTTATCCAGGTTTCTGTTAGGATAATAACATGTATTATTGTTTCAAACGATTCTATAATACACCGAAGTTCATCCAGTTTACCTGACTTGACGATACTTCGAACATTTCCGTATAAGAATCTAAATGCTTTTTTCTGTAATGTAATATTAGTATATTTGTTGCTGATTTCGTACGTAATAAGATTTTGCTTGTCGGTTGCATTTTCTCTCGATCCTAGTTTTTTGGCACTTGTTTTATAATTTTAGGAGCTCCCTTTACATATTTAATAATTATATTTTCTTCTCCTTTTTCTATACGTGATTGTAATTCTTCTCGTAGATTCAGTAGAGCTTTTTGTTGCTTAGAGGTTTGATCAGAGTAGATTTTAATTTGTTTATTATTCAGTGTTGTTTTGTTTTTTAATATACATTTAGATATTTCTTCTGATGAGAACTGTACTTTAAGCATTCGTGATTTTCCTTTTTCATATTTACCCAGTCGTATTACTTTTTCTGGCTTAGGACATTGTGGATATATTTCTAAGATGACTTTATTTACCTCAGATCGATCTTATTCTCTTCTTTCTACTGAATTTTCTAAATATTGCTCCGGGATTCCTTTTATTAAAATATTCTTGCTACGTATTTTGCGTTCTTGAATCTCAGTAATAAGTTCTTCATATACATAATCAGTTGCAAACTCCATTGGAGAATTTGCAGATTTACTATTTTTAAGAATATGTATTTCTTCGTTAATTTTTGTTATTTGTTCCTGTACAAGACCAATTGTATCAGTAAAGTGTGCAATTTGAGCCTTTAAAATGCTATTTTCTTTTACCAAATGTTCAGTAGTGGTTTTAATTTCAGACAGTTGTTCCTTTATTAATGATATATCATGTTTAATTAATCCAATGCCCACATCTTGCGACTTTCCGAATTCTTTTAATAATCCTATAATATCATTTTTAAAATCCTTAAATTGCTGACCCAAATCATCATCAGGCACTTTCCTTTTCCTCATAGATGTATTTCTAGATTCTGAATCCAGCACCTCAAATTTTGATAAATCGGGTTGGGAACTGCTGTGTCCACTTGCAATATTCATATTGATCTTATTTGGTGAGCGTGAGATATTCATACTCACTACGTAGTTGGTTGCTATGTATTTATCGTCTCGCTTCGTAAGTGTAGACGCAGCTCAATGAAGGCGAACTATGACCAGTGTGGATGTGCACCGTCCGAGTGTGTCCGAGCGGTCCCGACGTACGATGTTGTGTTGCACTTCTCACTTTAAACCACCAGTGTTGATCTCGTGTACGATTTGTGAAAATTACACTGTGTTGTTAAGGTATTACAGTTTGAAATTACTTGTATTGATATTTGTTTTTCTTGTAAAAAACTAAATGCACGTATGCTCACTTTGCCAGTCGAACGACGTATATATTTATATAGAAATACATATTAAACATCCACGACTGGAGTACAAATGCTCGTATTCATCACACAAACATCTGCCCCCACCGGGATTCGAACCCGGGACCTCTCGAGTCAGCGACACCATGAAACCCGGCGTACAAACCACTCGGCCAAGGAGGTAGTCAAATTGATTGATTGATTGATTATTGATTAGATGTAGGTAATTTTTCTTCAGAGGCCTACACTTAGTACAAGATCCAAAGAGAGATCATCGTCCTTCACCCATCTGCTAAGCCTGCGTAACTTTCGGAGGGTTACATCAATAAACAATTTTGTCAATCATATATTTCAAAGTACCGCTAGTTTAAATCTAAAGAAAAGTTTACTAGAAAAAAAATCTAAAGAAAAGTTTACTAGAAAAAAATCCACGCGGACCAGGCAGCGGACGGGACTCGAACCCGCATCCTTCGCAATCCGGGCGAATGCACTGACCATTATGCTACCACGGCCCTATTAGCCGCGCCGAAATTTTCCTAGCGTTAAGTTGCAAGGCAGCGCCATCTCTTCGCATTGTAGGTAACCCACAATACCGCTAGTTGTAACGGTTGAAAATTATTATTGCTCCTGACAAAAGGAACTCTGAATAATCTATATATATAAAAATGAAACCCGTTTTCCGTTGTCACGACATAACATGAAAACGGCTTGACCGATTTGGCTGTTTTTTTTTTTGTAGTTTTCTAATACTCTGTACAAGGTTCTTACGGAAAAAAATATAAAGAAAATCCCAAGGGGATAAAATAAGGAATGAAAGTTTATCAATTTTAAACCGATCGGGCTGAGACTTTGCATGCAGGTATAAGAAGAATCATAGATGAATGTCATTGTGTATAATACAAGCCTGAGAACAAAAACTGTAGTCTACACTTCAGCTCTACACCGAAGCGAAGCGAGGGCGGGCCGCTAGTCCTTTGTAAGAATAAAACACAGATTACAAAGCAAGCATATTTTTTAGTTTATGAGACCCATCATCATCATCCTCAGCCTATAAATGTCCCCACTGCTGGGGCACAGGCCTTCTCTAAGGATGGAATAGGAAGATTGGGCCATGAGCTACCACGCGGACCCAGTGCGGATTGGCGGGTGCTAACGACTGCAGATGCAGCCGGGACCAACGGCTTAACGTGCCTTCCGACGCACGAAAGTTGCTTAACTTCAACGATCTCAACCGAACGCGTTAGGCATCTGCGCTATCATTGAAAAAGTTGTAATGGTCTTTTAAACACTATTAAGCCTTAATTTTTTCTTTATAGATAGTTCCGACAAATAACTCCACCCCACCTGATGTTAAGTGACGGTGAAGTCCAGACGCGAAGATAGCTGATACAGCAGTTCTACCTGCCACACCAGCCATCAATACGTGTGGCACTAGGGGACTGCCGCGGTAAAGCTATTGCATAGCATTTTTTATCAACTTATGCAATTATAATTATTTATTTATGCAGTTTTTTTTTATTTCATATTAATTCAAGTTTTTTCTTTGATATTAATTCATGTTACACTTTTTGAGCGTGGTAACCGATAAGAAAACATTTTTTTTTTATTTCATTGAATAAATGAAAAGTTAATTATCATCATCATCATCAGCCTATTAATGTCCCCACTGCTGGGGCACAGGCCTTCCCTATGGTTGGAATAGGGAGATTGTGCCATGCCCCACCACGCGGGCCCAGTGCGGATTGGTGGGTGCTAACGACTGCAGATGCAGCCGGGACCAACGGCTTAACGTGCCTTCCGAAGCACGGAGGAGCTCGAGAAAGTAAATTTTTGGTCACCCATCCAATGACCGACCACTGCGAAAGTTGCTTAACTTCAACGATCGCAGCCGATCGCGCTAACCACTTGCGCCATCGAGCTCCTCCTCCTCGAAAAGTTAATATTGTTTAAATAATCTGATCGCGGTCGTTAACCTCGGCGCGCAGCTCAGATATGGTGCGCTCCAAGTCCATTCTACCAGTTGCATCAGGATCCACTTGACGCTGCTCCAACACCGCAACTCTTTAATCGAAGAAGTCAAGTCGAGCGGTAAAACAACTGCGGAAAGCCGCCATCTCCGAGCGGAATTCCCTCATCTCCTTCATGCAGTCGGTCAGCATAATTTTTATATCACTGGTGTGATTATTTTCAGCGGCGTTCTCCTTGGCCTTACCCTGGACCTCATCTTCCTTTGGAGAGCCACTGGCTAGGTCGACAGGTTCCCGTGCAGCAACCGTTTTTCTGGCTCGAAAGATTCGCTGATAACCTTTTCAGGCGTATACGTGTTGCTGCGTGTGCTCTTCTTGCAATTCGGGCACATACAATCCTTGCTGACACGCGACTTTTGCGGGATGCCGAGGCAGGCTTAATTATATTTGATTGATCAAGTACAGCAAAAAACAGCATTGCCCGGCGCCAAAAAACCACCACTAGCTCCACAGTTTACCATCTTTAGTCCAAAAAATTAAATTATAATTATAAAGTCTAAATAAAAGGGATACAAATAAATATAAGAACAGGTGCTGAGGTCTAAAACAAATATATAAAAAAAGGAAAAAGAAAAATAATAAAAAATACGAGTGCGGGATTTGAACCGACGACCGCAGTGATGTGTCGGCCGTTGGTACTATGGCAAAGATTTAAGACACTGCGCGCGCCGTTATGATTAATACTGGAATGGCGAAAATTGTGTTCTATTAGTATATGCACTCTCGTAAAGTTTTTTTCGTTACGGAATTTCTTGATTCAGTCGCCGCGCTCAAAGCCCGCGGTAAAAGCTATACAATAGCTTATAAAATCGTAAGTTATTTAATTATATTTTTTATTCTTTTTTTAAAACTAAGTATATTATAATTTTAATATTCAGTATTAATATTCGCCGTCATATATCATACGGTCTCCGATTTCTTCTGTGTTATATATCCTGGAACAATAAGGGATATTTAATGACAGGTTAATATAAAGTTACAAATAGTATTCTGCCATGAAATATATTTATATTTTATGCAGATAACTACACACATATATATATAAATATAATCCTTATGATTAACCCTTTCGATGGTTATCATAAAATATGTTGTTTTTTTTTCAAAATTTCACGAGTTTGATTCCCAGTTGAGCAGGCGATTTTTAAAAATCTGTGAATGCAGTTCTAGTTATTATTAAAAATAAAATGATGTCTTCCTTCAGTAAAATATCCTATCTTCAATATTTAATATACTTTCCCTCCGTGTGAGGTTGCCGTGGGACGCCCTGTATATATATTTATATATATATATATATATATATATATAGGTATATATTGCTAACAATCACTTCAGTATTTGACTCTATACTAAAATTAATCTTTGCTTGTCTCCACTGCATTGTCAGGGCTGTTTTCTCTTAAATTAATCATTTAAATGCTATATAATTGACGACCTCCGGGCCCAGTTCGAATCCCAGTGGGGGCAGTTGTTTGTGTCATGAACACGAGCATTTGTACTCGAGTCATGGATGTTTAATATGTGTTTCTATATAAATATAATTATATATATAAAGTATATTGTATTCTATCCGTTACCCTAGTATCCCATACCACAAGCCTTATAGTGCTTGCTTTGGGGCTAGGCTAATTGGTGTGAGAACATATTGGTATTTATGGCTAATTTCTTGTATCATTTTTAATTTTAATGAGTTACTCTAAAATTTATATATAGGTATATATTGTAGAAAATTATAAACTTATTATCTATCTATAATTTTTTTTTTTTTTTTTTTTTTTTTTTTTTGTGTATCTATCTATTTTATTATTATCTATCTATCTAATATTCCAGTCCATAATTCACCTTTGCTCTGGTTTGAATTGGGTTCGTTCCAATCTTGCACCTTGCTGGTGCCAAAGATGACAAAGATTAGATTGCCAACGCCGTATATTGCAGATGATACGTAGAACACCGTTCTCCACTGGCTTTGGTCTGTCTGTAATAAAAAGGATAGGTTTTTAGGTTTGAACATAGTATAATACCTATAAGAGAGTACCAAAAAAATTAGAGACTTTTAAACTGTGCTTAGACAACTTTGTCAGTAGTCTAAGCCAGAGTTCCCCAAACTTTTTTGTATTGTAGACCCCTTGCCATGTTTTTCCGTGTAGGGTAGACTCCCTACTTACCTGATATTGATTTCCTGTAAATTTCTAACTGTAGTGAAGTTTAGTGTTAAAAACATAAAGTAAAAACACATGTTAGTTTATACATTTATCAATTGAATTTGAATTAAAACTACTCAAAATAAAATTTTGTATCTGTTATGTAAAATATACGTAACATTAAATAAATATAAAATAAACTATGAATCTTTTATAAATAATGTATACGTTTTGATATTATAAGATAGTATGATGTAAGTATATAGGTACTATCAGTGTATGTGTTGAGATCCACTATCGTGGACCCCCATTTTCATTTCATGGACCCCCAAATTTTTTTTCGCTAACGTAGACCCCTTGCAGGTTGTCATAGACCCCTAAAGGTCGATATAGACCACTTTGGGAATCACTGGTCTAAGCACTATTCCTAGGGTTGCCAAATGCTGGCTTATCAATTCCGGGACATGTGCACCCCCGACCCCCCTTGAAAAAATAAAGCATCAAATTAAATCCCCCATCACCCAACAGAATTAAAACATCAAGCAGGTGTGATTCGTTATTAGTTAATAGTTTATTTTGTTACCAAACTAGAATATTATATCGTTTACTTTGCCCCGTCGTCACCCCCATTGTTTCCAAAACCATCACAGAGCCAACCAATGGCAAATGGAAAACCTCTGGGATGGCTCCACTAAGTCCTTACTCGATGCCTTGGATATGTTACAGCGGCGTGCTGCCCGCATCATTGGCAATGAAGAGGTAGTAACTAATAAACTCGAGTCTCTACAATTACGCCGCGATGTGGCATCATTAGGTGCATTCTATTGACTATACCACGGCGAGTGTTCTGAGGAGTTATTGTCCCCTATCCCTATATCACCTTTTCTTCAGAGGACAACGCGCGCTGGCCTACGTTCATCATCATCATCATCCTCAGCCTATTAATGTTCCCAATGCTGGGGCACAGGCCTTCCCTATGGATGAAATAGGGAGGGGCCATGACCCACCACGCGGGCCCAGTGCGGATAGGTGGGTGCTAACGACTGCAGATGCAACCGGGACCAACGGCTTAACGTGCCTTCCGAAGCACGGAAGCTCGAGATAGTAAATTTTTGGTCACCCATCCAATGACCGACCACTGCGAAAGTGCTTAACTTCAACGATCGCAGCCGAACGCGCTAACAGTTGCGTCATCGAGCTCCTCCGTTGCCACCGACTTACTGTGCCCACTATTTTTACACGAACAAAGATATTTGGTGACTCATTTCTTTGTCGTACTATTCGTAAGTGGAATTCTTTGCCCGCGCAGTGTTCCCCCCTTCCTACAATCTGGGGTCTGTTAAGAGAGGCGTGAAGAAGTATTTTTGCAGGCCGGCAAGATGAGGATGGTTTGTGTGGCAGTTATAACTACTGAACCAGCTATCTTTGCGTTTGGACTTTATCACAACTTAACATCAGGTGGGGTAGAGTCATTTGCCTACCTGATTATCTATATATATAAAACTCAAAGGTGACTGACTGACATAGTGATCTATCAACGCACAGCCCAAGCCACTGGACGGATTGGGCTGAAATTTGGCATGCACGTAAATGTTATGGCGTAGGCATCCGCTAAAAAAGGATTTTGATCAATTCTACCCCCAAGGGGATAATATAGGGAATGAAAGTTTAAGAAGAATTATAGATGAATGTCCTTGTGTATAATACAAGCCTGAGAACAAAAACTGTAGTCAACACTTCAGCTCTACACCGAAGCGAAGCGAGGGCGGGCCGCTAGTAAATAATAAAATGTGTCGTATTTAAGGTGTGGCTATAGTAAGCGTTGCATTAGAGTGATCGCTAACCTGTCATCTCTAGAATCATGTAGACCGCTGTTTGTAAGCCTAAAGATTCTTACGGTCAGTTGTGTGTACATTTACGAGCTTTTTAGATTAGTTCGCAACTGCCCACATTAATTTAATAGAATAACTGACCTTCCTCGACGCTACGTTTCTCGTCGAGAAAATAACTTATGTCAGTTAACCCCACACCTTGACCTAATTAAAAAAGGGTCTTTCTTTATGGCAGTCAAGTTGTATAATCACTTACCTAACTCCTTAAAAGCTCTTCAGGGAACTAAATTTGATAGTACTCTAAAACAATGTGTAATCAATAACGCTTTCTATTCTGTAAATGAACAATGACATAGACCCATAATATTATGTTTTCTACATAGCTATACAGGGTGTTACAAAAATACAAACAAAGCTTGAAGGGCGTTGAAGTACATCATATAAGGAGTCTTCTCTAATTTTCTAAAAATATTTGCATGTAGTTTCAACTTTTTATAAAAAGTTAAAACTTCATGCAAATATTTTAAGAAAATTAGAGAAGACTCCTTAAATGATGTACTTCAACGCCCTTATTTGTATTTTTATTACACTCTGTATAATATGTAAATGTTACGATTTAATTTGGTAGGTATGATAAGTTTAATTGTAATAATAATGTCTTCTACATTTTTGTAAATATGCCGTGCCCTTACAGGGCTCTTGTTTGCGACCTAACCATAGTTGCTATATCACACTAATCACACTAATATTATAAAGGCGAAAGTTTGTGAGTATGTGAGTGTGTATGTTTGTTACTTCTTCACGTCTATACGGCTGGAACGATTTTAATAAAATTTGGCGTGGAGTTAGCTGATACCCTGGATTAACACATAGGCTACATTTTACTGCGGAAAAATATCTTATTTCGATGGGAAAATCGATGCAAATGAATTTTGTTTAAGTAGGTACATATTTTTTGACATTCATGTCAAAGCTATTTTGAACATTCATGTCAAAGCTGTTTTGAACATTCATGTCAAAGCTATTTTGATAGATTAATATTTCATACATATTTCTAGGACAACGATATTGTTATAATTTTTTTGTGTATCTAATTATGACTCACAATTGTAAACCAAATCGTTCACAGAGCTCACAAAGAGCTTCATCTATGAAAATTGCAAGACAGATTCTTGAATCTACTTATGATACTGAACAGCGCAGACGTGACCAAGCAACAAGTCAGGCAGAAGTCAGAACTGGAGAAACTTCTGCGCAAGCTGATGCTCGGCGTCTGGAAAATCCTATCCGCATAGCTTCTCAGCGTGCATAAGAGACAACTGATGAGGCAGCTTTTCCGCGTCAAGAAAACGCACAGCCTATGGCCACACAGTGATCCAATCAAACACCTTATGAAGCAACTTCTCGACGGCGAGAGCATGCCCAGTTTATGGCTAATCAGCGTGCATTAGAGACACCTGAAGTAGCAGCTACTTGGCATCAAGAAAACGCATAGCGTATGTCCACTCAGCGTGCCATTGAAACACCTGATGAAGAAACTTCTCGACGGCTAAATCAATCCCAGCTAATGTCTAATCCGCGTGCTTCCGAGATAGTAGATGAGACAAATTCTAGACGACTCGCAGTCGCTCAGCATCAAGCAGAGTGCCGACAAACATTTACCAGAAATGCTTGGGGGTTATTTGAAAAATGTGGTTTTGAATATGACTTGACATTGGATTACAATAGCCACAGGCTCATGAAAATTTGCCGTATGGAAAATGTGTGTCACCATTGTGGGGCATTAAAATGGAATGAGGAAAGAGCGGGAATGTGTAGCTCTGGGGGTAAAGTAGCCATTCCTGTTTTAGAAGAGCCTGTGGAACCCTTAAATACATTATTTACAGGTGAAATTGATGAATCTTGACGGTTCTAAAACTGCGTACAACCCATGCTTTTACATGTCGTCGTTCGGGGCGGGCAAAGGACAATGGCGAACTCCCATACATTTTTTTGTTGTAATTTTTTCTTGCGTCTATAAATGAATTGCATGTTAAATTATACAGTTTACATTCTTGATTCGATTCATCTTATTTCTTATATTATAGGAAGTCCGGATTTATAGATATTCTACTTTGAAGTTTTGGAGGTTATGTCCTACCAAGTAATGCAAAAACGAATTATAAAAGTTTGTTTCAAGAGTATTTTTATATCAAAATAAAAAATACGTGGAACGGAACTATAGAAGTACATCGGCCCTGAAGAGTAGTGACGAAAAAAAATGTTTTTACAATGTATGATCAGTTGGCTTTCTTTCTTTCTTTCTTTGGCGTAGGTACTGACCCACTGCGTCAAAATACTTATTATCAGACAAGAGTTATTGAGTTCAAATACAATGTCTGTGCTGTAAGAAGTACTTAACAATTTGAAAATGCCCACTGCAATAATAAAGTATAAAAAAGGATTTCTAATAATGTACTAATAGGATATTAATTAAATATGCAACACTTTTTATAAATTTATTATTCCACATCGTTGATCACAATATCGTAGATAGTAGATACAATGAAATAAAATCTCCACAGTATGGGACAGAATCGTGTCCAAAATCCACAGCAAAATATCAGATTCGGAAGTCTTAGGCAAGCACTACTCAACAGTCGCAGAGAAAGATTTCGAAAGTCCAAATACAGTCAAAGTCACATAAAAAAACAAATCTCAGAAAAACACAATACGCCGATTGAAATCTTTACAATATGCATGCACCTAAGCACAAACAATGTTATATAATGATAACAATAACAACAACAATTCGATGACAAGCATGACAGTGACAGTTATAGTTTTTTTCGTTAGAATTGTCGCCATACTCTTTTTGTATTGTGGAGATTATTTAATATGGTTTCAGTATAATATTGAAAAATAATGTTTCCCGATATTTTTGTTATATAATTAAATACAGTTCAAGCGTAAAGCGATGCAAAACATACGAACAACATATTTAAAGTTGATTTCATCACTAA